AAGAGAGGATGGATCATGATGAGGACGATTATGATGATGCTGATGGTGATGATCACGAGTACGGTGATGATAATGATGATGACGATGATGATGTTGATACTGATGGTGATGATGATGCGGATGATGATGATGATGATGATGATGATGATGATGATGATGATGATGCTGATGATGATGATGATGATGATGATGATGATGGTAATGATGATAATTATGATGAGGACGATGATCATGCTGATGATGCGGATGATGCGGAATAGGATTCTGATAATCAGGATGGTAGTGATGAGGATCGTGATTATGAGGAAGAGGACCATTATGCTCATGATGATTAGGATGCTGATGGTAACGATGATGGCGAGGATGATGATGGTGATACTGATGATGATGCTGATGGTGAATATATGTTGTTGATGATGACGATGATGATGATTTGAAGGAGGAGGATGCTGTCGAGGAAGCTGATGTGGATAATGATGATGACTATGATGATGACGATGATGACGATGATGATCATGAGTCTCATGATGACGATGATGATGATGCTGCTGATGATGATGACGATCTGAGGGTCATGATGATAATGAGTGAAGGAGAGTGATGGTGTTTATGCTGCTAATGTTGCTCATGATTATGATGGTGATACTGATGATGCCGATGAGGCTGACGATGATGCTGAGGAGAATGATGCTGACGATGATGATAATGATGAAGATGAGGATGATGATGCTGCTACTGATGATTCGGATCGTGTCCGAAATGAGGATGAGGATACTGATGATGCGGATGACGAGGATTACGAATATGAGGGTGATGATGATGAATATGATGATGCCGATGATGCTGATGATGATGATGATGATGATGGTGCTGCTGCTGATGCTTATCATGATGATTTGGTTGACGGGATGACGATGATGAGCATGAGGATGATGGGGGTGACGATTATGATGAAGATGATACTGATGAGAAACGATGGTGATAATGACCACGAGGATAATGATGATGATGATGACGATGACGATGATGCCGATGATGATGACGATGATAGAGATGATGACGATGATGATATGGATGATGCTGTTGATGATGATATTGATGCTGATGCTGATGATGATGATGATGATCATGATGATGACGACGATGATGATGCTGCTGATTAAGATGATGATGCTGCTGCTGATGATGATGTTGTCTGAAATGAGGATGAGGATAATGCTGATGTGGATGACGATGATGACGAAGATGCTGATGGTGGTGATGATGAAGACGAAGACGCTGATGCTGATGATGATGCTGATGAGGATGATTATGATGATGAGATGATGATGATGATGCTGATGCTGATGATGATGGTGATGATGATGAGGATGTCGGGTTGACGATGATGAGCATGAGGATGATGAGGGTGACGATTATGATGACGATGACGATGATGATGATGGTAATGTTGATACAAAGATGATGAGGTTGATGATGGCGATGATGATGATGACGGGCTGACGATGATGAGGATGAGGATGATGAGGGGGACGATGACGGTGATGATGGTGATGATGATGGCGATGCTGATATAGCGATGATGACGATGACGATGCCGACGATTATTATTATGATGATGATGACGATGATGATGATGATGATGATGATCATGATGATGACGATGATGATGACGACGATGACGATGATGGTGATGATGATGGTGATGATGAGGATGTTGACGATGATGATCATGATGATGATTATGATGATCATGATAATGCTGAAAATGATGATGAGAATGATGATGGGAAGGATGATGAGGAGGGTGAGGACGATGAGGAGGATAAGGTGTTGGAGGAGGAGGAAGAAGGGTGCTCCGCTTTGTCGTTATGTTGCTCTAAGTGATCCGTGCGGGCGCCATAGACCGCTCTGGTGCTTGCAGGAGGAAGGGGGAGGAGAAAGGGGGCTGGGGAGGAGAAGATGATAAGGATGAGATGAGTGTGGAAGGGGTGGAGGGGGTGGAGGGGTGCAGTGAATGAACGAGTTTGAGGAGGGCGAGGTGAGAGGATGATGACAAAGAAGAGGAGGTGGAGGATGGGAAGCAGCAGCAGGAATAGGAAGGGGCGTTATGTATGTATGTGTGTATGTGTGTATGTGTGTGTATGTGTGTGTGTGTGTGTGTGTATGTGTGCGTGTGTGTGTGTGTGTGTGTGTGTGTGTGTCTGTGTGTGTGTGTGTGTGTGTGTGTTCGGCCACCCGCCTTCGGTTCAGCCCGCCGTTGGCACCCTCTCGCCCGCGCTGCTCGGCCGCCTGGCGCCGTTGACGACGACGATGACGATGACGTCATCGTCATCGTCATCGTCCTCGTCATCGCTATCGTCATCATCATCGCCATCGTCATCGTCATCGTCATCGTCATCGTCATCGTCATCGTCATCGTCATCGTCATCGTCATCGTCATCGTCATCGTCATCGTCATCGTCATCGTCATCGTCATTATCATCGTCATCGTCATGGTCGTCATCGTCGTCGTCATCGTCATCGTCATCGTTATCGTCGTCGTCATCGTCATCGTCGTCGTCATCGTCATCGTCGTCATCATCGTCATTGTCATCGTCATCGTCCTGCTCCGTCCAGTTTTCCTGCCCACCGCCTTTCTGCGTGTCGTGTCCCGCCTGCAGCTCAGCCTGCTGTGCGGTGGCCCTGTGCTGCCCGACCGACCTGCGCGTGCGCCGGGTCCACGGCGAGCAGCCGCAGTTGCCGCCCGCCGCGGCGACATGGGGCACCTCGCTGGTGGGATTGACCGCTGGGCCACGCGCAGGTTGCTCGAGGAAGGGAAGCTCGCGCCAGACCTGGCGGGCGCGCTGCGCACAGTGCTCGCGGGCGGCGTCGCCACGCAGTCAGTGGCAGCCAAGTGGGGCAAACCGACGCTGTGCCCCCACTGCCTGCCGGCCGACGAGGACCCAGAGCATCGAATCTGGCGGTGTCCGTGCTGGCAAGAGGCGCGGGCGGCTGCTCTGCTCGGCACGGGGTTTCGCCTGGAAGGCCTTCGCGCGGCCCTGCCGCTGGGAACCGCCTTCGCGGGCGCCCTCCTGGAGGACCCGGTCCTCCGCGCGCTGGCCGAGGGCGCCCGCGCGCCCATTCAGCCCCGGCCGTTGCCCGCTGGTCCACACGACCCGCAGCAACGCCCGCCGCGGCGCCGTGCGTGGACAGACGTCGCTTGTGAGTGACCGACAGACCCGCTCTTGGCCAGCGCAAGCTGAGGCTTGCAGCTAGACGGCCCCGGCGGCACCCAGGACTGCAGCGGGTATGTCGACGGGCCCCAGACGGCGCAGAGGGCGGAGCTGACGGCCGCCCTGCATGTTCTGAGCCTCGTTGCGGGCCCCGTGGAGGTGATCACCGAGTCCCGGTTCGTCAGCAACGGGGTCGCGGCGCTCCGGGCGGGGGCAAAATGGGCGCACGCCGAGGTCTGGGAGTTGCTCGCGCCCTACCGCCAGAACGGGATCCTCGCCGCGCGAAGGATCCAATGGCATCTCGACGCTGGCGGCGCACGGGCTCGAGGCTTGGCTGACGAGGGCCGCTTTGGCAACGCAGCAGCTGACTGGCTCGCGGGTGCAGCCGCGCGCGCGCGCGGCTCCCGCCGCCCGCCCTGGTCGCCTGGCGGGACAACCGCTTGCGCGCGCTGGGCGTCGCGCGGCGTCTGCTGCTAAAGGTGAAGCTAGCTGCCCTGAGGGTGAACGCGCTGCAGCGCAGGCGTGGCGCCTCGGACCCGCAGACTGCTGCGATGCGGCTGGAGGGGCGTGCTCGGCGCGCAGCCAGGCGCGTCTCCGCAGGGCCTCCCGCTTGCAGCTGCTGCAGTTCCGGCGCAGCCACGCAACGCGCACGGCGGCGGCGGTGGCAGTACCGATTGCGCCGCCTTGTTCGCGGGGCAGGCCTGGCATCTCCACGCCGCCGGGCAAGGCCCCAGCTGGGTGGCCTGAGTGCGCTGCGGGGCGTCTGCGCCCGCCTGGCCGCGGTTGGCGGCGTCATTGTGCTCGGGCTGTGCCGCCGCGCTGCTGCCGCGGGCGGCAGCCTTGCTGCTGCTGCTGCTGCTGCTGCTGCTGCTCGCGGTCAGGGCTGCCGGGCGCGAGGCCGACTGGCACGAGGCCGTGCGGGCGCGCTTGGTGCAGCGCCCTGGGCCCCCGAATCAATTCGGTGCTTCGGCAGCCCGCGCGCGGGCTGCGTTCCCCCCCCCTCCCTCCCTCCCTCCCATCCCCCCCTCCTCGGCCGCCCCTCTGCCGCTGGGCGTCGTCGCCGGGTTTGAAAACAAATGCTGGCCGTTTCGTCCAATGCTTCCTTGCTGTTGATGTTCATCAAGCCCGATCCTCCCCGCGGTTGCAGGGATCGAGGGCGGGCCGTCCTCAAAACGTGGGTCTTGCTTTTGGCGCCGCGCGCAATCGTTTCAGAGAAGATCCCAGCCGTTATACACATGTGAGGTGGGCCGCTTCGGGAATGTGATCGTCGCCTTGGTATTGCGCCCTTCTTCTAAACAGTGTTCAGCACTTATTCGGATGGACGGCGATGCCCGGGGACGCGCTCAACACAATGGAGCTCTTGCTGGAGACTTCTTCGCGCTGTCTTGCCAACAGTGTACGTTTGTCCAGTTCCGCGGATGGAAGGCGGCTCCTTGTCCACGTATGGCTCGCGCCTTAAACATCTTTGACTTAGAGGGGCAAAGTGGGCAGCGTTGAGAACTTGTTGCAGTCGCTCCATGGATGAAGGCGTCTTCGAATTGTATGATCTTGCCCCTCGCATCCCTTCTTCCTCGAGGGGCGCAGGGCAGTTTCTTCCCAAATCGGGGCTTTCGCTTGAATGGCGGGCCCACTGGGCGCCCGTCTTTCAAGGGGGTGCTTCCCATAGCGCGTGGTGAAAATCAACAGGGTGTGATGCAGCATCGCCCATGCATCCTAATGCTCCTCCTCCTCCTCCTCCTCCTCCTCCTCCTCCTCCTCCTCCTCCCCCTCCCCCTGAGGAGGGAGGCGACGCACCCCTCCCGCCAGGCAGCAGGCTGGATGGAACGCCGAGAGTTGGGCTCTGCACGGTGACGACGGACAGGCAGCGCCCGTGCGCCGATTGCCAGCGCCAAATCGGGAGGGGCGACATCAGAAGGGAACGGGGGGAGGGAAAAGGAGGAGGAGGAGGATGAGGAGGAGGAGGGGGAGGAGGAAAAGGAGGAAGAGGAGGATGATGAGGAGGAGGGGGAGGCGGAGGAGGAAGAGGAGGAGGAGGAGGAATGAGGAGGCGGAGGAGGAGGAGGAGGAGGAAGAGGAATAGGAGGAGGATGATGAGGAGGAGGGGGAGGCGGAGGAGGAGAAGGAGGAGGAGGAGGAGGAGGAGGAGGAGGAGGAGGAGGAGGAGGAGGACGAGGAGGTGGAGGTGGAGGAGGAGGAGGAGGAAGAGGAGGAGGGAGGAGTAGGAGGAGGAGGAGGAGGAGGAAAAGGAGGAAGAGGCGGAGGTGGATGTGGAGGCGGAGGCGGGCGCGCCCGTGCCGCGACCGCGACCCCAGGGGCGGAAGCAACCCCCAGGTTTCACTCGGGGTGGCGGCCCACCAGGTCCACGGCAGCCAGGAGGGCCGCCCAAAACCGAACCCAGCCCCAGGCCCCGAGGGGGACGACCAGGAGGACCCCAGATGGAACCCTGCCCCGATTGCTTCCCCCCCCGAGACGTCAGATGGGACCGAAGTCCTATCCTCACTCTCGACCTTCTCCAGGACGCTCGCGAGGCCGTCGAGGCTTGCGAGGTCCATGAGGCCCTTCTCGTGCAGCTGCCCGGCTAAATCGATGAGCTGGCCGATCAGGTCGTTGCCCACGCCCTCCGCGCCGTCGGCACCGGTGAGCTTCGGGATGGGCGGCACCGCTGCCCGCAGCTCGCTCCCCTCCTCATTATCCTTGCCAATCTGCGGGGTGCTCATTCTTCTGGTTGTTCTTCTTTCTCTTCTGGAAGCCCTCATCGATTTCGGACTCCGAGCTGATGTAGAGACGAAGAGCATGCTGACCATTTCCATGGCTGCTGCTTTTTTCCTTGCCGGCCGTCGGCGCTGCGACCTCATCTCCTCCTCTCAGTCCCTGGCCGAAGGCGCGGTCGGAAACCTGGACGGCCTCCACGCGCCCGTCACCTCCTGCTTCGGGCGAGGCGTTGGCGACCTTGTCGACGATCGCGCCCTCCTCGCACCTCCTCCTTGCTGCGCTTCTTGTCCTTCTCCGTCTTCTTCTTCTTCTTCTTCTCTTCTTCTTCCTTTAGTGCTGCGTGCCAGTCGAACTTCCCGAGGTGGACGTCGCGCGCCTCTTGCGGACCTTCGACTGGCGTTTCTTCACGATCCGCTCCTTCGGCTTGCAGGACTCCGACCTCTCCTTCAAGCTGTCCTCCTTGTTCTCCTTCTCCTCCAGCCCTGCTGCTACAGTCCCGACGCCGCCAACCTCGAGATCCCCACGACCGGGGCCGACGCCTGCTGCGACACCACCGTTCCCAGCGTGTTCCGGCAAGGCGCCTCCGGAACACGCTCCTGGACTTTCAAGCTGAAGTGCCATTCGTCCAGGCTCCTGGTTTGCTCGAACTTGCGCTCCTCCTCCAGTGTCCGTAGCGGCTGCGGGCGCGCCCCGCGCCACCCTTGAGGCGGTGCGTTCGTGCCCCACCAGCCCGGCGGAAGCTTCTCGATCACCTCCGTGAGCCCCTGGTGGAAGATGGGCGTGTGCTCTGCCAACGCTCGCGACTTCGGGAAGACCCCAGGAAACCGAGGCTCCCTCTCCTGCAGCCGCTGCCTCGGCCGCCTCGGCCGCCTCGGCGGCGTGGCAGGCACCCGCCTCGGGGGCGCGACAGGTCGCCCCGTCGCCATCGCTGATGACCACTACCCCCAGCTCCGCGCCCTGGCCGCAGATCGCCTGGGATCAGGAGGGGACAAAAACACAGACACAATTGATCGTCGATTCCCCCGAGAATATGGAAAACTATGGGAAATGGGGGGGAAGACGAAAACCCAGAAAAAGTATGGGTAATCCGGTGATTCGTGTGTGTGTGTGTGTGTTTATTTGTGTGTCCCTGGGCCCCTTCATGGGAGCCCACCTCGAGCGCCGCGAGCTGCTCGCCCAGGCGCTCGGAGAGCCTGCTCTCCGCGATCCCACGGCCTCTCATGCCGCCAGGGCGGCGCGGGCCTCCGGCTCGGGTGGGCGTCGCCCCTTCGAGTCGCGCCCACCTCGCCCCCCTTGAGCCAAAATGTCTTGAGCCAAAATGGCTTGAGCCAAGATGGCTACGGAGGAGGAGTAAGCAGGAGGAGGAGGAGGAGGAGCAGGACGAGGAGGAGGAGGTGGAGGTGGAGGAAGAGGGGAAGGAGGGGAAGGAGGGGATGGATGGTGAGGAGGGAGACGGGGGGAGGGAGGAGGGAGGAGGGACGAGGGAGGAGGGATGAGGGAGGGAGGGAGGGAAGGAGCGAGGGAGGCAGGGAGGGATAGCGGGAGGGAGAGGGAGGAAGGGAGGGAGGGAGGGAGAGAGGGGGAGAATGAGGATGAGGGTGAGGATGAGGATGACGATTAGGATGAGTATGACGATGATGCTGCTGCTGCTGATGATGATGATGCTGATGATGATGATGATGATGATGATGATCATGAGGATGATAAGGAGCATGCGGAGGAAGATGAGGAGGAGGACGAGGAACAATAATAATACTAAACTTAAATAGTACTATTAGTTATAAGAGTAATAAAAACAATAAGCATACTATCACTAATAATACTGATCATATTATTAATAACGATAGGAACGAAGCACGAATAACACTTATAACACTAATAACGAGAATGTAGACGAATACAGCCAGTACGAACAATCATAATCATACTAAGAAGACGACGAAGCATACTAACAATACTACTAATATGAATGATAGAGCGAACACTGATACGAATAACAATCACACTAATAGTGAGACGGCTAAGAAGAAGCAGACGACGGAGAAGGACAACTAATACTACGAATACTCCTGATACGAATACGATAGAACATCATAAGACTCACACTAATACTGCGAAAACTAAGACAACGAACACTAGTACTATGAACCATAATAGTAACAAGCAGGCGAGTACTAACCATACTAGTAATACTATGAAAACGAATAATAACCACACAATGATAACATACTAAGGATACGACTATTATTAAGCAACATAACAATACTAATAATAACAATACTGAGACTGATACTACGAATAAGAATTATAATAACATTACGATTATTCAGAACAATGGGCATATACAGTCTACGAAAAAGAACACTCATACGAATCATATTATGAACAATACGACGGCAGGTTATACGACTACTACTGATACTATAATTAAAAAGTGTAATACGAAACATACGAATAATACTACGAGGAATACTAGTAGTAATACTAATCGTACAAAGACTAAAGTACTGATACTAGAATTTGAAGGCCAATATCAATAGTAATAATCATCTTCATACTAATAAAACCATTATGTATATTCATCAGACTATAACTAATAATAATACGAATACTTATACTAATAATCATATTAATAAAAACAAACCAGTACAAAGAAAAGTAAGCATAATACCCAGACTAATACGAGTAACAATGAGCATGCTAAGAGGATGATGATGATGGTGATGATGAGAAGGAGGAGGAGGTGGAGGAGGAAGAGGGGAAGGAGGGGAAGGAGGGGAAGGAGGGGAAGGAGGGGGGGAGGAGGGAGGAGGGAGGAGGGAGGAAGGAGGAGGGAGGATGGAGGGAGGGGAGGAGGGAGAGGAAGGAGCGAGGGAGGGAGAGAGGGGGAGAGGGAGAGAGGGAGGCAGGGAGGGAGAATGGGGGAGGATGAGGTGGAGGAGGAGGAGGAGGAGGAGGAGGAGGAGGTGGAGGGAGGTGGAGGTGGAGGTGGAGGTGGAGGTGAGGAGGAGGAGGAGGTGGAGGAGGAGGAGGAGGAGGTCGAGGTGGTGGTGGTGGTGGTGGAGGAGGAGGGAGGAGGAGGAGGATGAGGAGGAGGAGGAGGAGGAGGAGGAGGAGGAGGAGGAAGGGGGGGAGGAGGGGGATGGAGAGGGGGGGGGGGGGATGGGGGTCCAGGGGGAATGGAAAGTGCGAGTCTGGGAGGGCGCCCACCCTTCCCTCGTCCAAGTCGCCGGAGCGTGCCGAGGGTGCCGTTCTCAAGTGTGCTGCTGAGATGGAGGGCTGGGCCGCGATGGGAGCCCGCGCCTCCCCGTGCCTCTTGGACCGCCTCTTCTGCGCTCGCACGCCAGCGCGCTTGGTTTCAGTCGTCTGCCGATTCCCAGCCCAGTCGTCGACCGGAGGAGGAGGAGGAGAAGGAGGAGGAGGAGGAGGAGGAGGAGGAGGAGGAGGAGGAGGAAGAGGAGAAGCCCAACCCAGTCGCCCCCCAAGCCAGCGCAGTCGTCAAGATTTTTTCCAGCCGGGTCGATCACGAACTTCCAGCCCAGTCGTGCCCGAACGTGGCCAGTCCCAACCCAGTCGCCCACCGAGTTCCAGCCCAGTGGCCCCGCAGACCTGTTTGTTTGTCTGCGGAGTCTCAACCCCCTCGTCGACCGAACACCAATCCTTCTGCACAGCAAACCTGCCCAGTCGTCAACCCAGTTCCAATCCAGTCGCCTACCAAATTCCAGCCCAGTCGTCAACCCTGTCCTCTCCGAACGCGCCTAATCGTCCACCCAGTCCCAGCTCAGTCGTCGACCGACATTAGTCCCAGTCGCACCGCAAACCCGCTTTGTTGTTGCGCAGATCTAAGTCAGTCGTTGACCGAATTCACCCCCCTGCCCAATTGCCAAGTCTGTTCCGACCTGTCCTCCGAATTCCAAGCCAGTCGCTTGCCCAGTCCCGTTCCAGACGCCCGCCGAATTCCTACCCGGATTCGATTTGTCGTCGACCGACTTCCAGCCTGGTCGCACCGCAAACGCGCCCAGGCGCCCATCCAGTCTTCTTCCAGGCGGCCATCGAACTCCAGCCCAGCCGCGCCCAGACCTGCCCAGTCGTCAAGCCTGTTCCATCCCAGTCGCCTTCGAGCGTGCCCAGCAGCAAGCCCATGCTGACGGGGATGGTGACAGTGGTGGCGATGATGGTATGATTATGTTGGAAACGGGGATGGTGGTGGTGGTGGTGGTATTGGTGGGGGTGGTGGCGGTAACGACGACGACGATAATGATGATGACGATGATGGTGATGGTGATGGTGATGATGATGATGATGATGATGATGATGATGATGGTGATGATGATGATGCGGATGATGGTGATGATGATGATGGTGGTGGTGATGATGGTGTTGTTGATTATGATGATGACGATGATGATGATACTGACGATAATGATGGTGGTGGTGATGATGACGGTTATGCTGATAATGGTTATGATGATACAAATAATGATGATGGTGATGATGATCATGATGATGTTGATGACGTTGGTGATGGTGATGGTGATGATGATGATGTTGCTGATGATGATGGTGATGATGATGATGATGGTGATGCTGATGGTGATGAGGATGATGATGACGGTGCGGATTATGTTGTTGCTGATGGTGATGCTGACGGTGCTGACGATGCCATTGATGATGATGATGATGATGATGCTGCTGATGATGATGATGATGATGATGATGATGCTGATGATGATGATGTTGATGATGATGATGGTGCGGGCGATCATGATGCTGCTGACGCTGTTGATGATGACGACGCTGATGATGCTGATGATGCTGATGATGCTGATGCTCTTGATAATGGTATTGCTGATGATAATGCTGCTGACGACGAGGCTGCTGCTGCTGCTGCTTATGATGATGATGCTGATGATGATGATGCTGATGCTGCTGATGATGATGACGCTGATTTGTGACGGTGATGATGATGATGATGATAATGATGATGATGATGATGATGATGATGATGATGATGATGATGATGATGATGATGATGATGATGGTGATGGTGATGATGGTGGCTGTAGTGATGATGATGCTGCTGATGATGATGGTGAGGATGCTGGCGATGACGACGACCATGGACGATGAGGATGAGGATGATAATAAGTATGAGGACGAGGATGAGGATGATGATGATGCTGATGATGATGATGATGATGATGATGGTTATGGTGGTGGTGGTGGTGGTGGTTGTGGCGGTGGCGGCGGCGGCGACGAGGATGAGGTTGTGATTGTGGTGGTGGAGGAGGTGGATGATGGTGGTGGTCATGATGACGACGGTGATGATGACGATGATGATGATGGTGGTGGTGGTGATGATGCTGCTGCTGATACTGCTGGTGCTGATGCCGACGCTGATGCTGACGCTGATGCTGCTGCTGATGATGATGACGATGGTGATGCTGATGATGATCATGATGATGACGATGATGGTGGTGGTGGTGGTGGTGGATGATGATGAGTGTGGTGGTGGTGGTGGTGATGGTGATACTGATGATGATGATGATGATGATCATCTCTGATGATGATGATGATGATGATGATGATGATGATGCTGATGCTGATGATGCTGATGCTGATGATGATGATGATGATGATGATGATGATGATGATGATGATGATGATGATGATGATGATGATGGTGATGGTGATGGTGATGGTGATGGTGATTGAGATGGTAATGGTGATGGTGATGGTGGTGATGAGGTGGAGGAGGAAGAGGAGGAGGAAGAGAGGAAGAGGAGGGGGGGTGGAGGAGGGAGGAGGACGAGAAGGGCATAGTTCGAGTATGCCCCATGCCCCCGACGATTCGAGGTTTTTCGGGTCGCCGACCCCTTCTGCGGGACCTGTTTGTCATCCTGAGTTGTTTTTGATTGTCCCTGGTCCCAGAACTTTCTCCCGGAACCCAAAAAGGGGAAACATCCACTTCGGCAGCGGCTTGGAATTCGGAGGTCTGCAGGAACTTTGCATGTTTGCAGAGTTTGCGGACGCACCCAGAGGTCCCCAGATAATCTTTGGAGGCCCGAGGAGGTTTCAAGAGGGCCAGAAGCGGACGAAAGTGTTCAAAAGCAATTACCTTCACCTCCTCTCGTCGTCGTGGTGGTCGTCGTCGCCGCCGCCGCTGCCGCCGCCGCCGTGACGCCGTCGTCGTCGTCGTCGTCGTCGTCGTCGTCGTCGTCGTCCGGGGCCGCCGCGCCGCCAGCTCTACCACGGGCGCGGCAGCGGCGACGCCTTCCGGCGGATTGGCCCATTGCCCTGCGGGGCCCGCGTGCCAAAGAGGTGCCCTCCTCCCGTGCCGGGGCGAGGAGGGGGAAGAGGAGGGCGAGGGGGAGGGCGAGGGGGAGGGGGAGGAGGAGGAGGAGGAGGAGGAGGAGAAGGAGGAGGAGGAGGAGGAGGAGGAGGAGGAGGAGGAGGAGGAGGAAGAGGAGGGAGAGGGGCAGGGGGGGGGGGGGCAAGCTAGGTGCGCTTAGTAGCGTCACATCTGACGTCCTACCTCTCCTCCCATCCCTTACCATGGCGCAGATTTCCTGATCTATTCGCACAGTCGGATGTCGAGCTGGGCAGTGATCCCAAGAGGGTACGCGATGGATGGAAAAGCATGGCGTAGAAGAGCACGGCAGAGCATAGCATGTCATAGCATGGCTTGGCATTGCGTAGTGAAGCGTTGCATCACAAAGCATAGCAACGCAAAGCATGGCATCGCCCGGCGGTGCACAACACAGCATCGCATTTCATGCCGTGGCATGGCTCTGGATGACTTCCGCAGCCGTGCCTGCCCAATGTGGGCGCTTTCGAATGCCAAGTGCCGTCCGGAGGCGCGGAACGAGGCCAGCGCTGCAGCGGGAGCACGATAATGAATGACCGAAGCGCGGAAATGACGGCGGCGCTGCAGCGGGAGCACCATTTTGGAAGAACGGGAACGACCATATTGAAAAAACACAGGAAAAGCCACATCAACACGCGGAGAGGACGGGAGACTCTCCGGACGGAGTCAGGGGAGAGAGGAGAGTAGTATTCATCAGAGTGAGGGGGCCGAACGGTCATTCATTGTCCGTGGGTGCGTGGTTGAAGTGGGGATCCGTGGTGAGGATTCTGCTTGTGGCGTTGTTGTTGTGGTGGAGGTGGTGGTGGTGGTGGTGGTGTTGGTGGATGTGGTGGTGGTGGTGGTTGTTGTTGTTGTTGTTGTGGTTGTTTGTTGTCGTCGTCCCACCTGCGACCCACTCGCGACCCACCCGGCGACCCACCTGCGACCCACCCCGCGACCCACCCCGCGACCCACCCCGCGACCCACCTGCGACCCAACCTGCGACCCACCCGCGACCCGTCCGCGACCCACCCCGCGACCCACCTGCGACCCACCCGCGACCCACCCGCGACCCACCCTGCGACCCACCCGCGACCCACCCGCGACCCACCCGCGACCCACCCGCGACCCACCCGCGACCCACCCGCGACCCAACCGCGACCCATTGCGAGCCCACCGCGACGCACCCCTGACCCCCGCGACCCACCCGCGACCAACCCACCCGCGCCCACTCGCGACCCACCGGCGACCACCCCGCATCCACCTGCGACCCAACCGCGACCCACCCCGCGACCCACCCCGCGACCCACCCGCGACCCACCCGCGACCCACCCACCCACCCCGCGACCCCACCCGACACCCACCGCGACCCACTCGCGACCCACCGCGACCCACTTGCGATCCATCCGCGAACCACCCCGCGACCCACCCCGCGACCCACCTGCGACCCAACCTGCGACCCACCCGCGACCCACCCGCGACCCACCCGCGACCCGTTCGCGACCAACCAGTGACCCACCCGCGACCTACCCACACTGGTTTAACGAACAAAATCGGCGCCTGCGGCGGCCTCGTTGTATAATTAGTGAAGCTTTGGCGCCTACGGCGGGCTTCTCCAGAGACTCGCAAACTGCCGACATCCCCACCGCCCCCTCACTCTTATGCGCATCTGCGGGGTACTACGTATTGTGTAATTGTGGTGGAGGAGGAGGAGGGCGAGGACGATAATGATGGCCAGGAGAAGAGTTGTGGCCAGGAGGGGCAGAGATGCCGCACAAGAGGTGGTCGAGCCCGTTTCGCCTGAGACATCTTCGCAACTCTGAGCTTGGAGATGCCGTTAGTCCAGCCCGTTTTGCCTGAGACATCCTCGCGACTCTTTGCTCAAAAGGTGCCGCGCGCGAGGTGGTCCAGCCCGTTTCGCCTGAGGCATCCTCGCAATTCCGGGCTCCGTGAGGTGTCTCGCGTGAGGTGGTCTGGCCCTTTCGCTTCAGACATCCCCTAGAGGGAAAGGTCAAAGTCTGAGGCTGGAATGTCATGCCAAGTAAGTGCTGAGGCTTTCTCCAACGAGAGGAGGAAAGGGAGGATGACGAGGAGAGCCAGTAGGACGAAGAGGGACGAGGATAACATGAGGAATAACATTTTTTTGAGTATGAGGCTGAGGAGAAAGAGGAGAGGCAGGAAACATCATGAACATGATGAGGCATAACCGGAGTACGTAGGAAAGTGGAGGAGGAGGAGGAGGAGGAGGAGGAGGAGGAGGAGAAGAAGGACGACAACAATGCCGACGAATGCGACGACGACGACAACGATGACGACGAGGGTGTAAGCCGATCAGGAGTTGGGGGACGACCACTATCCGGAGGACGCGCGAGTAGTGTTTGGAGCCACCCTGGCTCTCAACGCGCTGTCTGGGGATACTGGACTCCAATTCGATTCACTTACGAGGGACCTTCGCCCTGGGAGCAAGTATCGCACTTCGCCTTCTTCGTGCGTGCTCTCCTTCTTCCCTCCCCCTCCCCTTCCTCCCCCTCCCTCCCTCCTCCTCCTCCTCCTCCTCCTCCTCCTCCTCCTCCTCCTCCTCCTCCTCCTCCTCCTCCTCCCCCTCCCCATCCTCTTCCCCTTCCTCCCCCTCCCTCCTCCTCTTCCCACTCCTCCCTCCTCTTCCTCCCCCTCCCTCCTCTTCGTCCGCCTCGTTCTCTTGCTCGTTGCCGCTGTCTTCGTCCTCGTCTTCACCGCCGGCGTGGTCGCCGTGCCGCCTTGCCGCCGCCGTCGCCGACCTGTGCCCCAGGCGCTGGCCGAGCTTCGGCGAGGGTGCCACCGTGGGCTGCGGGGTGATCTCGGTGCCAGCAGGTGCCAGGAGGAGGAGGAGGAGGTGGAGGAGGAGGAGGAGGAGGAGGGTCGCCTGGCGTCGTCGTGGTCGTGGTCGTGGCGGTGGTCGTCGTCGAGAAGCCCAGGAGGCCACAGGAGGAGCCCAGGAGGCCCCACGGGGAGGTGGTCGTCGTCGAGAAGCCCAGGAGGCCACACGAGGAGCCCAGGAGGCCCCACGGGGAGCCCAGGATGTGGTGGCCACGGAGGAGGGGGAGGGAGGAGGGGGGATGAGGAGTGGCGGAGGAGGAGCGAGGAGGAGGGGTGATGGTCAGAAGGAGCTATGATGATGATGGTGATACGATGATGAGGATGAGGATGAGGATGAGCATTAGGATGATGATGCTGCTGATGATGATGGTGTTTGTGGTGGTGATGGTGATGGTGATGATGATGATGGTGGTGGTGGTGGTGATGTTGATGATGGTGTTGATGATGGTGATGCCTATGATGATGATGATGATGATGATGATGATGATGATGCTGATGATGATGATGATGATGATGATGATGATGATGATATTGTTGTTGATGCCTATGCAAATTATGACTGTAATGGTGCTGCTGTTGATGACGATGCTGATGCTGCTGCTGATGATGATGATGCTGCTGAGTGTGATGACGATAAGGGTAATCAAGACTCTTACGCTGATTATACTGCTGATTATAATGCTTATGCACATGATTATGGTGTAGTTGATGATGATGGTGATGATCTAGCTGATGATGCTGATGCTCCTGATGATGCTGATGACGGTGATGACGACGCTACTTTCGATGTCTGTGATGATGATGCTGATGATAATGTTGTTGATGATGTTGATGATGCTGATGATGATGATGGTGATGATGATGGTGATGATGATGCCGTCGATGCGGATGCTATTGATGATGCGTATGTTAATGACTGTCATGGTGATGGTGTTGACGACGATTTTGCTGACGGTGACGATACTGATCATGGGGTTGGTGATGGTGATGGCGATAGCGAGGGTGATGGCGATGTTGATGGATATGGTGATGGTGATGCTGATGATGATGTTGTTGATCATGATGAGGATGATGGTGGTGATGATGAGGATGATGGTGGGGATGGTGATGATGATGATGATGCTGCTGATGATGATGCTGATGATGATGATGATGACGAGGATGCCGATGATGGTCACGATGCTGATTCTGATGCTGAGGCTGATGGAGATAACGATGACGATGAAGACGACGACGCTGACGATGCTGACGATGATGCTGACGATGATGGTGATGATGATGATGCTGATGATGCTGATGACGATTATGATGATGATGATGATGATGATGATGATGATGATGATGATGACGACGCCAGTGATGATGATATTGATGCTGATGATGATGAGGCTGATGATGATTATGATGATGCTGATGATGATTACGATGATGGTGATTCTGCTGATGATGATGCCGTTGATGATTATGATGATGATGCTAATTGTGACGACGATGATGCTGATGATAATGATGAGGATGATGATGATGATGCTGATGGTGCTGCTGCTGACGATGATGGTGATGATTACGGCGATTATTCTGATGACCATGATTGTGATAATGATGCTGCTCATAATGATGATGCTGATGGTGATGATGAGGATGATGATGATGATGATGATGCTGATGGTGCTGCTGCTGATGATGATGGTGATGATTACGGCGATTATGCTGATGACGATGTTGTTGATGATGATGATGATGATGATGACGACGATGCTGAGGATTCTGATGTTGATGGTGATGCTACGGCTGCTGCTGCTCATGGAAATGAACAGCTTGGCGATGCGCAGATGTTACTGGCCCGCAGTGCAGGCACGAGAGCGAGAACGTCCGACCCTTCGCAGGGGATTTGAGACCCACGCATTCCATCGTTGCGTGCGAGGCCTGCGGTTTTAAAGCCAGCCGGATTCTGCGTCCCTTGCTTGCACAGGGAATCGGTCGCCCCGCAGGCCGCCGTGCCCGTACATCGAAGCAGCTCGGCCAAGGTTCCATGGGTTTACTACTTCAACGACCAAGGCGGTCCGCCTGGCGGAGTCTGTCTTCTGCGGAGTCTTCTGCAGATTCTCATTTCCTGTTGCCTTCTTCTGCGGAGTCCTGAGGAGGGACCACCCCTTGCTGCCGCGACCCATGCAACGGCCCCTGCGCAGACACCTCCGACTCCAACGGCGAGCCATCCGAGGAGTGGCTGGGGATCTTCTTCGCGCTCAACGGGCAGTTCCCGCGCTGCCCGCCATTTCGTCCTCCCCGTCGTCCTCATGCTCGTCCTCCAGTGGGAACATTCGCACGGAGGCGCCGCACCCCTTTCGGCACACCCCTCGCGCGTTTCGTGGCCCCCATCGGGAGCCCCATCGAAGGCCCCAGAGGGAAAGTTCGTATGGGGGCGCCGCGTACAGTTTCGGCATACCGCTCACACGTTTCGTGGCCCCATGGGGAGTTCCACAGAGGCCCCAGAGGGAAGTTCGCATGGCGGCGCCGCACCAATTTCGGCACACCCCTCCCGTGTCCACTGGGAGCCCCGTCGAAGGCACCAGGGGGGAAGTTCGCGTGGCGGTGCCGCATGCAGGTTCAGCGCACCCCCTCACGCGCATCGTGGCCCCATCGGGGGCCGAAGGCGCCAGAGGGGAAATTGGTATGGCGGCACCGCGTGCAGTTTCGGCGCACCCCCTTTACGCGTATCGTGGCGCCATGTGGAGTCCCTCCTCCTTGTTCCTACCTGCCTTGCGATACTGGGTCCTGAATCTATGGTTGGGCCCTTCGCCAGGACAACTCTCGTCTGCTTTGCAGGCCATGCCGATGAGTTCTGCCCCAGGGTACCATTCTTAGTGGCACGTGTGTAACCATGCAGGTATCGAGTCAAACGCCCGGGACGTCCTCTCGGCGCCACGACAACGTATTGATACCATGTGTGCGTCGCCCCCCAAGGGGCAACGCGCGCGCCGAGAAATCGTATAGTATAAGCTCTGTGGCGGGCGCTTTCTGGCCATACCGTTCGGGAGACGATCTACTCCAAGATGGACGGACTAGATGCTCGGGTCGGACGCGCGCCTCCAAGGCGGCCGTATAGCAGTAGTATGTCCTCGTGCGTCCCATGCGACGTCCGCCCCTGCCCACAGTACGTCCCCAGAGCGCCCGTCAGCCTAGTCGGCCAGCAGCGAGCTCGCGCGCCCTGTCCACCGTCGCCCGCCCGCCGGCCCCGCTGGCCTCCCACAGCCGAGGCCCCCCGTCGCTGGTCCCCCGCGCCGGCTGCCGACGGGTCGCGCGCCCCTCGCCTAGGGGGAGAGACGGGTCCCAAGGGAGACGGATCCTGAGTTTTGTCGGCGCTCTTCAGGGCCTCCTGGATGGGGTCCGGGTAGATGGGTCGGAGGATCGCGCCGCATCGCCGATGCATCGCCGAAACATCGGCGATACGGCGCGATCCTCCGACCCCATCTACGCGGACGCCATCTACGAGGTCTTTGTCCACGGGCCCCGGGACTGTCAGAAGACGACTCGTGAGGAACATCTCGCCCCAGGGGGGAGGCTCCAGGGGTCCAGGGCCCGCTCCTCTCAGGAGGAGGAGAAGGAGGAGGAGGAGGAGGAGGAGGAGGAGGAGGAGGATGAGGAGGAGGAGGAGGAGGAGGAGGGGGAGGAGGAGGGGGAGGAGGAGGAAGAGGATTGTCCCGGTTGTCCCGGTTGTCGCCTTAGGTTGCGGGCCAGCCACTCACACCTCACCCCGTCGGTGGCAGAGGGATGGCCGATGCGGGCGGCCGCCGCGCAACCTAAGGTTTAGGGGATGGCGGATAGCCACGATACTGAAGGGCTTAGTGAGGAACACCGGTCGATGTTCCACCGTGTATCGATATCGCTGGCCGCCACCCCCTCCTCACCCCATGCCCCAGGTGATCCTGTCGAATCGGGTCCCCTACGGGGTGGCATCCCGAATGGGGGCAGCGAACTTGCCGTGCTCAGGCCACTAAGTCTCTAGGGCAGTCGAGACAGTTGGCCAAATCCTGCCATCGCGTGCCAATGCTCGCCGTATCGTGCCTATGCCCTTGATAGAAGATTAATCTATCAATGTGTGCCGTGTGACCGCGACAAGGCACCGGCTTTGCGTGCTGGTCCGTCCGATTGTGCGGTACACGCCCATGCCACGGGAGTTCGTGACATTTTCGTTGCTGTCATGCGGTGCGGTGGTCGAGGCATAGCTCTGCACGGCGTAGAGCAAAGGATAGGCCGTACAGCCTATTCCCACAGCTTGTGTCGGTGACCTTTGTGGGCACCATGCGGCCCCCAAAATGTCACTGGCTTCGCGTGCTGGCCCGTCCGATTGTTCAGTACTGGCCCCTGCCGCGGGAATCGTGACATTTTCGTTGTTGTATTCTGGTGTGGTAGCCGAGGCAAGCATCAGTCAGTTGAGGTAGTTTGGATTCTTCGGGTCGCTGCGCGGTGCCAGCGGCTTTATGCAGGAAGAGCGTGTAAACAGTCAGTTGAGGTAGTTTGGATTCTTAGGGTCGCTTGTTCGGACCTAGCGTGAAACTGCTTCACGTACCTGCCTTTTCCCGCCCTCCTGCCTGCCTCCGTCCATTCGTGCCCTCAGTCCTGCGGAGAAAACTCCCTAGTAGCGCGGGAGAAACTCTAGAGGGAATCGTCTACGGGAACGAGCTCTTCCAGCACCTTTGCGTTTCCCTTCGCGTGGGAAGGGTGCCGCCCTTCCCTGATTCTCTTTAAATTTGCCCTGGTATGGTCGCTGGCGGGGCGGCCAGGCTGATGTTGCTTATGCGGACACCCTCCGACACGCAGCCACACTTCATGCATACAAACAGTATGCCGTCTGGCGTCGATGTGACGAACAGCGCGTGCCCTCGCATTTTGGATACTAGAGCACTTAGCACCTGGTTGCGCTCCACGCACTTGAAGGCTAAAAATGGCGGGTCCCAGCTTGTACGCCTGAGGCGTAGCTGGCAAGCCCACCAGCGGCGGATCCATGTAAACTGGTGCCCGTTGGGAGGCGGGCGGAAAGGACGGCATGGGTCCCGTGCGACTTCACCTGGCAATGCTGGCCGTGGAGGTGCATGGGGGCGAGGGAGATCCGCAGGAGAAGGAAGACGAGGAAGAAACCGAAAACCAGTCCCCCGGTCGCCCCCCCCCCCTTGACCGCTGTTGCGGCCAGGGGGGACTACTCGGGTCACCTTGAAACGCCCAGTTGGCATCGACGACCGGTCCCCTAACTCGCTGCATCTTGAGCGAAGCAGAGGAGGAGGAAGAAGAGAAGGAGGACCAGCAACATGAGGAAATTAATCAAATCATAACCCCCCTGTCGTAACGGCGGCGGCCGCGCCGACCGGCCAGTGGCCGCATCTTCCGGCCGGTCGGCCGCTGGCTCTCAAGTCCAAGAAGCCCTCCACAGGACCCCCCCCCTCCCGAACATTGCATGCAGCTCTGCCCCGCACGCTGTCCACTGTTATCTACTGCTGCCCACAGACCCCCCTGGTCCTGGAGGTGTGCCTTGACACCCAAAGCGGGCGGACAAATCGTGCCCCCCCTCCGGGGCACGAGGGCGGAAACCGTGACACCACCGGTCCTCGATGATACGACAAGGGGGTTACACGTATCCCTCCCCTGCTTCTGCGCGCTGCTACAGTGCTGCGCATTCATACAATGCTTATGCCGCGGTTCGTGCTCGACATGCGCGCGCATACACCACCATATGCAGGACCAAGACGAGGTCCACCCCGAAGGGGGTGAGCCCTCACGACGACACGACACAACCTACCCACAGATGCCCCTCCTTGGCCGGCTGCACGCGGGGCTGCTAGCGAGCTGATCCAGTCGAATCAGCGGGCGGGGGGCCACTGCGAACTTGCTGTGCAGTGGTCCGTAGCCCCCGACCCTAAAAATAACAAAAAAAATGCAGCCGACACGGCTTTGAGAAGCTGATCCAGTCGAATCAGCGGGCCGGGGGCTACAACGAATTTGCTGTGCAGTGGTCCGTAGCCCCCGACACAGTTGCCCCCCCCCCCCCCCCCCCCCCTCGTGGCCACACAGGTGACCACGTTTTCTGGTGTCGCCCCAGCTAGCCTAACCCCGGGGAGTTGGAAAGGTCGTCTTGGGCGCGCGCCGTGCGGGGCAGGCCCCTACCAGCCCCCATGCGTCCTTTCCAACACCCGAACAAGGGGCTGCGGCAGACTTCGGCATGGGGAGGATGAGGAGGAGGAGGAGGAGGAGGAGGAGGAGGAGGAAGGAGGAGGAGGAGGAGGAGGAGGGGAGGAGGAGGAGGAGGAGGAGGAGGAGGAGGAGGAGGAGGAGGAGGGGGAGAGGAGGATGGAGGAGGAAGGAGCGAGGAGGAGGAGGAGTAGGAGGAGGAGGAGGAGGAGGGCGGAGGGAGGAGGAGGAGGAGAAGGGAGAGGAGGAGGAGCGAGGAGGAGGAGGAGGAGGAGGAGGAGGAGGAGGAGGAGGGAGGCGGAGGAGGAGGAGGAGGAGGAGGAGGAGGAGGAGGAGGAGGAGGAGGAGGAGGAGGAGGAGGAGGAGGAGGGGGGGGAGGGGGAGGGGGATGGGGAGGGGGAAGGGGGAGGGGGGGGGGAGGGGGAGGGGCGAGGGGGAGGGGGGAGGGGGAGGGGGAGGGGGAGGGGGAGGGGGAGGGGGAGGGGGAGGGGGAGGGGAGGAGGGGAGAGGGGGAGGGGGAGGGGAGGGGGAGGGGGAGGAGGAGAGGAGAGGAGGAGGAGGAGGAACCCTGAGCCGGGCCCCTCCTCAGCTGCCGCCGCCACGCGCCGCCGGTCGGGCGTGGCAGTGGCGCCCGCTCCTGCGGGCGGGTCGCTCACGTCCGCCACCGTCGGTCGGCAGCCAAGCCGCGGGCCGTTCCCGCCGCCCAGCGGGCCGCTCTGGCACGCGGAACGAGCAAAGACATAAACAGAACAACTCGGAGGTGCGCGCGGATTCTCGGATCGGCGCTGGGGCCCCTCGGCGGCGCCGCCCCTGCCGCCCCTGGCGCGCGGAGCGCGCCAGGTTCCAGCGCGGGTCCGAGAAATCCGCGCGGACCTCCGAGTTTTTATGTTTATGCCATTTTTCGTTCCCCTAGCTCTGGCACGCGGCGGCCCCTTGCGGTCGAGCGGGGCCCGCCACGCCACCATCGCCGAGGCGCTGCTCCTCCTCCACCTCCTCCTCGTCTCCTCCTCCTGCTCCTCCTCCTCCTCCTCCTCCTCCTCCTCCTCCCGTGTGGCCTCCTCGTGTGATAAAGGGATGCGGCCGAACAGCGCAGCTGTCATGTCGGGATCGAGCCAGACTCGTCGCCAGGACTCGTCGACCACGACAAGGGTGAGCGCACTGATGTCACCGAACGCGCTCCACTGCTCGCAAAGTGCCTACTCGCAAACGTCCGAATCAAAAAAACACATGTCTGCCTCGATGTAAGGTATCGCAAATCCCCCATGGATCCAGGCCACTTGCGAGTAATTGCTTTGCGAGTTGCGGAACGCGCTTGTCTATGACAAGCGATTGTGGCAGGGGGGGAGCCGGATGCGATTCCAGCGCGCTCATGCGAGCGTCCTCGCTCCTCTCCCCTCGCGCCTCTCGCCTTCCTCCTCCCTCCTCCCTCCCCCCTCCTCTCTTCCCTCCTCCCACACGCCCCCCCTGCCTCATTCGCTCCCTTCACGACTCCTCGGCGACGACGACGAGGACGAGGACGACGACGAGGACGAGGACGAGGAGGAGGACGAGGACGACGATGACGACGACGACTGACGACGGCAGCAAACGTCCGAAAGAGAGGTTCCTGGGCGTGACCTTCGTGCTGAAGCAGAGGTGCGGCTTCCCGCTCCACCCCTGCGTGGGCATCGACGCCCACTGGTGGCTGGACTTCAATTTCGGGGCGAGGCCCCGACGAGGACTGGGGAGAAGAAGCAGGAGGGAGGAGGGGAGAGGATGATGATGCTGGTGATGTTAATGTTGCTGATGCTGATGAGGATGCTGATGATGATGATGATGATGATGATGATGATGATGATGATGATGATGATGATGATGATGATGATGATGATGATGATGATGATGAGGAGGAGGAGGAGGAGGAGGAGGAGGAGGAGGAAGAAGAGAAGGTGGATGATGATGATGATGATGATGATGATGATGATGATGCTGTTGATGCTGATGGTGATGATGATGCTGATACCCTTGCTGTTTGTGCTGCTGCTGATGATGGTGCGGAGGAGGAGGAGGAGAAGGACATGGAATATGACCGGGATGTTGCCAACTATGATGATGCCGATTATGAGGTAGGGGGATGATGGTTATGATGATGTTCATGATGATGCTGCTGCTGATGATGACGATGATGTCGACTACGAAAGGGATTCTGCGGATGATGATGCTGTCGAGGCCAATTTCGATGATATGATGATGGTGATGGTGATGGTGATGCTGATACCACTGCTGATGATGACGACGATCACGATGATGATGATGCTGATGTTGATGGTGATGCTGATCATGATGATGCTGATTATGAAGATGATGACGATGATTCTGATGATGCTGTTGATGTTGATGATGATGCTGACTATGAAGATGATGATGACGATGACGATGCTGGTGGCGATGATGCTTATGATGCTGATACTTGTGATGATGACGATGCTGATTTCGATGATGATGATGATGATGATGATGATGATGCTGATGGTGATGGTGATGCTACTGATGCTAATGCAGATGATGCTGATGTTGATGATGACAATGCTGTTGCTAATGGCAATGCTATTGATGATGCTGATGATGATGATGATGATGAGGATGATGATGATACTGATGATGATGACGATGATGATGATGATGATGATGATGATTATGCTGGTAATGGTGTTGATGATGATGCTGATGCTGATCATGGCGATGGTGGCGGTGTTGATGATGCTGCTGATACTGATGATCATGGCAAGGACTATGATGTTAATGCTCATGCTGCCGCTGATGATCACGATGATGATGATGGTGATGATGATGATGATGACGATACCGATTATTTTGATGATGCTGATTGCGCTGATGACGATGCCGATGGCGATTATGTTTGTGATGATGATGTTGCTGATGTTGCTGATGCTGGCGATGCTGATAATTTTGATGGTGGTGCTGATGTTGATGATGTTGCCGATGCTAATTCCGACGATGATGAACGTGATGATGACGAGGCGGATGCTGCTGCGGCTGATCATGGTGACGATGGTGCCGATTTTAATGCTAATGCGGCTGCTGATGATGATGAAGATGATGATGATGATGATGATGCTAATTATGATGATGATGATGATGATGATGATGATGATGATGATGTTGATGATGATGATGCTGATGATGACGATGATGATGATGAGGAG